CACCCCCGTCATTGCTTCAGCTCCTCTTTTCCAGTTCCAGTTCCAGTACCCCTTGCTACTGTTGGCTTGTTTGCATGAAAAGTCTCGGCAACAGTGTACGTATTTGACATTTTAAACGGGCCAGTCGCCACTTGTCAATCTTTGTAAAAGTTCGCATTTCACATATTTTCTCCGCCCCTCCACGCCTCGTGGCTCTGCGCCATATACGTGTGTGTCACTGTGAGTGAGGATTTGTTTTGTTTTTTGTGCAATTTCTGGTGATTTTTTAGCGGGCTTTTTAACCGTTTTTCCTTCAGTTTTCCCCCATACTCTTTTTTTTTTTTGGTTTTTTGTCAACCAACTCGCATTTCTGCTGGCAAATGGCTTTCCAAACGCCGAACGTCGAGCGCCGCGCGCAAAGTCAGCCTAAAAGTATGCAAATAAAATACGCGCTCTTATCTGTTTGGCATTGGCTTTTGTGTTGGCCTGGCCAACACGACGCGGTCCACAGCTGATGCCAATGTGGCATGTGGCAAAAAGCGTAGCCAAAACAATGTTTTAAAATGCATTTGGGCATACTTTGCACGCCGGCACATTGGCAATTGCATTCGCATACCATAAGCCCGCTGCCATTCCGTCGAAAAAGTCCCCATTCTCAGCTCGCCAGCTCTGGCCAGCTCAGTTCGATTCAGTCAGCCATCCGGCCGTTGCAATGGGTTTACTTTATACCCATATATGTGCTGGGATAGTGGGTACTATATACATGGGGTCTGGGTATTGGCCTGGCCCAGACAAGCTCGTGCGACTCCAATCAACCAAATTGAAGCCAATGGTTTTTGCTTTTGTTGCCGCTTTGCTGTTCAAACTGCCAGTTGCGGCTCATATGTCGCGTGCTCCACGCGAAACAAAAAAGTTTAAAACAAAGAAGTTACTTTTGTTTTGCGCGACCAATAAAGTTAAGCAAAAAGTCCCCAATAGCTGGACTTGCACTTGAGTACGGCCAAGCATTATAAGCCAACAAAAGGCGTTCAAGTGTTAAAATACTTTATCTACCTATTAATGCACTATATGTTCGTTCTGACTCACTTGTACCAGTAATGAAAAATTTTCTGAAAGCTTTGCTCAAATGATGTCTAGGTAATATATGAAACAAGCTTTTAATCCAGCCAGTTCGTCCTTTTAGTTGCTTAAACGGCTGGCAGTCTCTAATTAATTTATTCTCTCAGACAAAGAGTTTCAAGTGTCATTGAGCTGGCGAAACAAAGTTTAATTTTCCTGTGTCTCTAATGCGAGAATTTCCCTGGCACTCTATTAGCCAGATATTCGCTTTCAATTAAAACCACTCTCTGTGGCAATCAACTGTTCTTTGCAGTGCATTCTTCTGACTGCTTTCTGTAGAGTAGATCCTTTGGATCCTTTCGAGTGCGGTATCGCATTCGTCGAGGCACTGTTGCAATTCCCTCTAAACTTTCAACTTCTTTGGCTTTGTCTTGGAACACTGTCACTGGCATATACGTCTAAATAATAGAAAAGTTGTCGGGCAAGATGTGGAAAAAGCTGCAATATGCACTATCCATGCGAACTCATCTACAAAATTTATTTTTGGAGGAGCTGCTGGAAAAATCAAGTATTCCCTCATATGTTAGCTTTATGGCGCCATTTTGTTAATTTATTTCACTTGCTTGACAGTTTGTTTTCGATTTTTTTATTTTTTTTGCGATTTTTTCCCCGCCCAGTTACGTTGAATTTGGCTTTGGTTTGGTTTAGTTTGCTTTGCTTTTGTCTTTTGTGACTGGACTTTATAGAAGTACCAGAGTCCAGGGGGATGGTTAGTGGGAAATAAATATTTTTTCGCATTCCTTTTAGTGGTGGTGCAGCCCGCATTTTTGCTGGTGTCGCTATATGGGTGGTGTATGTGGTTTTGACATAAAGTGCGCTTATAAAAAACCACCAAGTTAGAAACGCGGCGGAATAAAATTTTTTGATGAATGCAACCAGCTCGCAACGAGCTGGCCAAAAATTGCGCAAAAATAGCTGATAAATTTGCCCAGCGCAAAACAAATGGTTAAAGTTTTAAATTGAAATTGGGCCAAAAGAAAATTGGTGGTGTGGCAGACGTGGAGGGCTGATGTATGTATTTACGTAGGTGGGTTGAAGCTCGCAGCTCCCAGCTAAAAAATGTCCATAATAAATATCTCAATCAAAAGAGACAAGCAAGCAAAAAGTAGCATCGGCATCATCTAGCTGCATACAAATATGGCAGAAGCTCCAAAAGCACCAAAAAAATGGAACAAAACCAAATGAATATGAAGCGCTGGGTAGTGGTTGTTGGAGGTTCGGTGTTTGCTGATAAAACAAAAGCCAACAGAAAGCGATGCACAGATTAAAAATCTAAACTAAAAGCAGCACCAGCACAAATATGTGTATGGAAATAAAACGACAACAAAAAATGAAAAGTATAAGCTTCTTCCATTTTCCACCATCAAAGATTTCGCATCCTTTTTTTATATTTTTGTTTCTTGTTTATTTCTTTTTTGTTTTTTGTTGTTGATATAAAACAAGCGACTAAATAAAAACCGCACACACAGTCACATTGGGGATGTGGATGGATTGAGAGCCAAAGCAGGAGCAGGAGCTGGAGACACACGTACAAGTGCAGGTCCATTTATCTTCTGTCATTGTGCGAGTGTTTCCGTTTTTGTAATGAATGTCCAGCTGTGTGCATTGCCCTGCGGACAAGGAGCTGGCCGGATCTAGCTCTGGATCTGGCCAATGCAAAGCCATCCTCAGCGCCCAAGCAAGCGAATCCGAGACCGAGACCGAGTCCGAGTCCGATTCCGATTCCTAGTCTGAATCCGAGTCTGAAACTAAAGCTGAAAACTGAAAATGGACCGAGAAACTGTGAATCCGAGCCGCTACAATTGCCGTTGGCCGCTCGCTGAAAGGCGTCTTTTATGTCGCTTGATAAGATAAGCCTTGCTTAAAATATATATTCATCGCTATGTATTTATATACATACATATATATATATACAAATATATGTATTGGGATGGAGATGGATTTGGAAAAAAGCAGATAAAGTGCATGCTAGAGTGGACCAGGACGTAGAGAATTTATTTTATAAAATACAGATTAAAAGTCTTAAAAATAAGCTTTGGATTTTAAGCTCTAATAAAGTTATAGAAATAGGTACAAAGAATAAAACTTAGATATAGAATTTCTAAGCAATATAAAAATATTATTTCATTTCTTATTTCATTATTTCAATCATAAAAACCCCTATAAGAACTTTTCAATATAACTCGTAGAATGCTCCACCCTAAAAGAAAACTCGTTGTGGAAAAGGAGCTGGACATCAAGAAAGACACAAGTGTGCAACTTGTATGCGGCACATTCTTAATCCGGGTTTTTGTCATTACACTTTCCACTTTATTTCCGTTCGTTCGCAGATTTGCGTTGTAAGCACTGCCCCTTCCTTGCCGAAAGGACCGATCCCCTTTACCCCAGCCCTGTGCTTCACTTTGAATTAGGCAGATTTTCCTCTTCCGCATGTCCTCTTTTTTCAACACCATTCCATGTCTTTTTAGGGCTATTTTTTTTCGGCCAGAAGAAGAGCAATTGGAAATAATGCAGTGAGGACAGATGAGCACAAAGACAAGGCACTGGACTGAGGACAGGGGACTGTGGACAATAAACTGGCAGTGGGAAATTGAGATGCAGGACTTAAAAATTGCCAAGAACCCCAGAAGAGGCACGAGGAAGTAAGAAGTTTGGGCCAGCGCTGCTCTGCCAACCGAGCCAGTAAGCTGCTTGCTGGGAAGACTGCAGTTTGAGGCTTAAACGCAACCAACCGCAAACTCAAATGCTATCAGCTGGAGGTTTCAGGTTCAGCATCACAAACTATGTCAGCCATAGTGGACAATCATTGATTCCATATATCTCTTCCTTCCAAGGAGAAACCAAGGAAGAAGTTTAACACAATGATTAACAAATGAATGCATAATCTCCAAAAAATATCTACACATCATAGCCATTATTTATCTCATCTGCCAAGGTAACTGCAAGGATATAAAAGGTGGAGCCACAACCTGGATTTTCCAAAAATTATTTTTGATATTTTTGTTTTAATTTCCATTACCGACTTAAATGATTGATGTTAGAACGAAACCAAAAAAGCAAATCTCAATGGTTTTGTACAGCCATTTTAGCCGGCATTGATTTTTCTATAATTTCACCTGTCAAACTGCAAGAACTTGGCTGAATTATTCGGTTGAACTTCCTCAACAAAAACAGACGTGTCCCGTAGGGCAAACATTAATTCGATTTGAGGGCACCTCGCCATACGCTATCTGGCATACAGAAACATTCCACTCGGAGTGTATCTGTATATACAATGTATATACTCCGCACTTGGGGCACATCCAGTTCCCAGAGTGGCAACCTCAATTTACCCATTTCAGGAGTCCCGATGGCATAAGCGAATTCATCCATTAAAGCTGCCAGCAGCGTACATAAAGCCAAACAATTCCCCTAACTACCCAAATTGATCAATTTCAATTCACTGCAAATAGCCTGGGCGTGATTTGTTGGGGTGGCTCCGGCAGCAGTAATGTCGCCCCTGGTTGGTAATGTTGGCAATATAAACTTTTTGTACTTTTACGATACGATGCTGAGCTGAAACTGTGCAGCGGCAGCTCTAGAGTCTACAAAATGAAACGACAACGTCCGACGACGACACCTTGCCAAGTAGCTCACAACAAATTTGTCAATGCTAAGGGAGCCTTGAACGGAATCGAAAAGTTTTGAAAACAAAAACGAGCAGGTAATAATACATACAAGCTACGAAAATAAAAGTTCTATTGTCGACAATAGCACGCGCCAATGCAAAAGTTTGCATATCAAATTTCAAATAGTTTGTGCATTAAGCTTGGTTTCTACCTCTACCTCTAGAGTTTAGAAGATTGGGCTATCTACCAGTGCCTTCTTTGAAAATGGAAAGTTATCGGGTCAGAGGAGTTATAATGTTCACGCTCCTGATGGTCTTGCCCCTTCGGATGGTGCTGTACGCAACGCACTTGTATCTGCAGAACCTATCCTATTTGTCACATATGATTGAGATCGTTTTGGTCCTGCTGTCGGACAAGCTTTTGTTGGCCAGTCGCAAAATTAGCCGCCGGATTATGCATACTCCCAGACGGGAGCGCCGAATTCCGGATGTTAGGAACCTATTCCTTCTGTTAATAATCCACGATCGGATAATCGCCTTCATCATATTTCTCCAAAACACAGTCGATTTTATGACCAAAACGTGTTACGTCCTGAACCGATTGAGCAAGATCTTTGGTGTCTGTTCCCATCGGCGAACCTGGAAATTAATGCTCCACGATTCCGGAATCATCTGAAAAATTATCCAGAGTGGGCCCGAATGCTTATTATAACCCACAGAACTCGAGACTCGCCCTAGTCGGATACTTTGACGTTGAAATGCAAGGCGCTACACAATTCATGACTTTGTTAAAAACTGCTACCGAGGCACAATTTTACAAATTTATTTTAATAAAATTTTTTAGTTACACTTAAACGGTTGTTAAAGTCTCAGGGATTATCTGAGAGCTATGGAGCTATATCCCTTCAAAAAGCACATCTCTATATTAGTCTAGAATCGGGTATCATACAGTCCATAAGAACCAAATGCCTTTTTTTTTGATGGGGTAGCCGCCAAATGCATCCGCATTCGCATTCGCTTTTAGCGTGCGCAATTACACTTGAAGAAATCCTGGGGATTTCATGCGAAAATCCATTTGTCACAATGCCGAGTACGTGAGGCAGCACAGCAGCTGCAGCAGTGCGTGTAAATGTGTCGTCTGGGTACTGCGCGAATCCTTCGGGTCCTGTGGATCCTTTGGCCATTGCAACTGGCTGGGGCAGTCGCAGTGGCACCGGCAGTGCTGCAACTGCAATGCCGGGGCTCTATCACAATGACACTTCATTTCAGTTGGCCTTTGCGGCAAGGACTCGATGCTTTGCCAAAATATATGTACATCGTACATATCTACATACACGCATTCTGTTTTCTGCCGTATCCGTATCTGCCCCACTGCCACTGGCTCTGTCTATATCTGTATCTGTATCTGTGGTCACTGCCTGAAGCCGCATGGACGAGGAAATAGCCAGCTTGGCTGCAACTCGCCTCTGGATTATTTGAAGCCAACCCAGTGCATTCGCTTAATGGAGTTGCTCCCTCGGAGGAGGGTAGCTCGAAGCGTATTGAAAAGGTAAATGGATTCTCGGATTCCTGGGCTTCTGGATTGCTGGAATCTTGGATTCCTGCAATGGCATAAAATTCAAGTTGCACTAACATCTGGCAAAGCTCAGACCACAAGGTCAAAGTTTTTCAGGTGCCCGAAACCAAATCTTAAGCAAGAATGTATGGCGTTTTAGATGACAACACAAAGGTTTTTTTTATGTTGTGTTTTCAATTTTTCATCATTATCATAAATGAATGTATATTAAAGAATATTGAAATGAATATTTAACTCTTTTTACTCTTAAACTTCTGATGAGTAAAACTATAGATAAATCGATAGCCCTTAAGCCTTTAAAATCAGCTTAAAAAGTTAAATCTTAATAAAAACTACACCATACTTAAGCCTACTATCGCCGTTGACTATCGAACAAAGGACTCTGGACTTTAATTAAAAGCACTTAATCCTTGATCTGTGCAATCCACCCTCGCTTTCAAAGATTTCAAGTGCGAAAGTAAACGCCGCGCAAGTTTTCATAATCATGAATATTGTTTATCGCTCCTTGAGCTGTTCAAAGCTCCCACCATTCCGAGTGCATTGGAGCATAATGAGATAGACTCCAAACACCGACTCTGACTCCTGGTACGGATCCAGCTCCGGCGGAGTTAAGACGAGTTGAACTGACATGGCCGGAGATCCGCTGCATTATAAGCCGCTCACAAAGTGTTAAGTAAAAAATAACTAGGGTCATAAGAAGCGGCTATAGAATAAAAGGCTTTAGATACTTGGCATTGCATTGGTTTTGGCCCTCCGCGGAGCTCTTGGATATTTTTAAGCCCATTGCAAGATCTGAGCTCCTGCCAGGCAGTGCGGTCCTGTGGTTTGCCATTTTTAAACTCTTTAATTGGCAGGACCCAGTACGAATATTTTCATAATGCGTTGTTTCAAGAGTTTACAGCGTATTTACACATAGAATTACATAAACGTTGAGCGCATTAACATTAATTGGAAAGTATTTTTTAATTAATAAAATTTCAACACGTTGCCGTCAGAACAGCATATAATTGCAAGTATGCATTAAAGTAGCCCCACTCCCCCATCCCACTTCGAGGGCCAATCGTCCCAACAATAACAATATAATGTCAGTACAAACAACTACATCCGATACAAGCTACACACCCAACACACAATTGCATACACAACAACTTTATAAATACATATTACATCGTATTGATATGTCAGGCAACAACAGCAATGGCAAACGGCGCCGAGACCAAAGTAAAAAAGGTTAATTGACCAACAAATAACTTAATTAAATCAAATGAAAATTAAACAATTCAATTTTTAATGAGGTCCGCTGGTTTTGACCTCCTTTCAATTATGAAAAGCCAGCACAATGGGCACAAGTGCCTGGAGTAGGCAGCTCCCGGATGACTGATTGGACGGACGGCTGGGCAGACGGGATGGTTGGATAGCTGAATGGCTGGAGGTCGATCCGCCCATCTGGAAAAGTGGTACATCTGACAGCTCTATTAAAATTTCGAATACCCTTAATTTGTCCGCCCTTCGTTTCGCGGCCAAGCCTTTTGTTTCAACAAAAAAATGGTCAGTTTGAAACTATTAATTACAGGTGGGAAACAAAAGGATGAGAACATTGAAAGGGCTTGGGAAAACCACAGGAACATGTGGGATATGCCCACATAATTACTCAAATGTTTAATCATAGCTTGGGGTTAACTATAACTCATTAACTCGAATAAATTAGTTCCGATTAAAAGAAAGCCAATTTTGGAAAAGTTTCAAGTTTTATTTTAAATATAGATTTTAGGAAGAGCCTATAATTAATAGAGTTTACAAAAGGACTTAATCTACAATTTTTTTTAAAAGCCTTATTTATTTGAGCTATTTCTAAATAGATTTAATACATTAAGGTATTATTTCTTTTGCATGATTTGTGTTTTAAAACACTTTTGACTTCAAACCCACCAATCGCTGACAGATAGGAGAGCCCACTCTGCCGCTGAAACAAACAATTAATATTTAATGATTTACAATGTGACAATTGCTTGCATAAGGATAATTCCATATTATAGCAGATCAGCTATCGAACTGAAATATTCGCCGTCCCATTTCGGCTCTTTAACAATTCACAAACCAAATGCCTACCGCCTCGCCTCCGATGGGAATTAAGTTCATAAAAAATGCATAAATTATGTAAATTGATTAAAAAATCAGCATACCTCAGCAATAAAATGATTATAAAACTGAATGAATGAATAAACAATAACCACTTGCAAAACTGCAACAACTGCAGGATAGTTGCAGTACGGTGGCTCTTATAATAGAACCATTTACAACTGCCGAGTGCCAATTGAAACTAAGACTATGGCAGAAATATTTCAATTGTTTTTGCTTGTTTCTTTGCAGCTATTATTGTTTTTGTTTTATTCCACTCGATGCTTGTTGCTATTATTGTTGTGGCGGAGTACGTTTAATGAATTTTATTGATTGCGAAAGGAAAAAACACAAAATAAGAACAGCATCACGCAAATGGAAACCATTTACAGCTTAAAAATATTTAATTACCATCTCCCCGACTCTCCCACTCAAGTGAGATTGAGGGATTGAGGGCGGCAATGTTGGTGAGGGGAGGCGGTGGTGAAATGTTTCAGGTCTTGCCACCAAATTGCAATTAATCTTCTTTTAACAGCAAACTTTTGATCCGCTTTATTTGCATTTCACTGCGGCCCATACAACAAAAATAATAACAACAACTGGTCCGGCACAGGGACCGGCATTTTCCCCATTTCCCAACGGTAGTGGAATGGAAATAAGGTGTCCTGAAGGGGCGGCAAAATAACGAAAATGCTTGTCATAAAAAATTATCAAGGGTTAAAAATTATGTTACGCGTTTCATTTCGGTGGCTGTGAAATGATTTATGCAAAATCTGTGCCCCCGCGAAAACCAACAGCACCAACAAAAATGAATATAAATTGTGCAATTTCATGTTGTTCTTTCCCCCAACTTAACTTTACTTTCATTTTGTTCATTATTTTTTTTTGTTTTGTGTCCGGCAAATTAATTTAAAGGCAGGATATAGCAGCAAGTGCATAATAAATAAAATAACAAACAGCGAAAGGGTCGTCAGAAGGCCATCCAGCACATAATTTATAATCTCACATTGAATGATTGTTATTTTCTTGAGTTTCGCTTTGGAAAAAAAAAACGTGCACATTAACCGATGATAATTTTTTGATAGCCCAGGTAACCGGGATAGAAGCCACTGCCGTAGCCGTAATAGCCCGGCGGTGTGCCGTAATTGTAGTAGTTGTTGTAGGGATAGCCGGAAAATGACCAGGAATACCAGGGAAAGCCGGTTATGCTGCCGCTAAAGAAAATGCCACGCCTTCGACGCCCCGGAATCTGTTCGCGTTCGGTTCCATGCCGCACCACAGAGCCGCCAATTTCCTGCTCCAATGACAGCAAATCCGTTTTTACATCGCCAACTGGTGCCACATCCTTGTCAACAGCCGACGCCGCCACCATAGCCGATGCCGACGCCGCCGCCGCTCCAGTCAAGTGCGTGCCCCACAGCAAAATCAGAATGTGAAGCAGTAACGCCTGTGGCAACACTCGCACTCGACGCATATTTAAATATTTAATTCAACGATGAAAATATTATATTTATATTTAATTTAATCGACAAGCCGCGTCAATGCTTTCCACACAACTGCCAGTCAAAGAGTCGTCGGCATTTCCTATTTATACAATGTATATGTATTTATGTTTCAAAAGTGCGAATTCAATTTAAAGCTGACACCAATGGCGTTTGTTTTCAGTCTCGCTAATTGAAGCCAATTCAAAATTGGTAACTGAAATAAAAAAAAGGTGTACAAGTTAATGGCTAAAGATTAAATATGATGCCAAATTATAGGCATTAAATGGATCGATCAATGTGAAGTTCATAATTCTGGAATTACAGAGAATCAATTAGGGAAGATATAAGTAATTAGGGTTATATAGGTTGTCAATATAAGTGAAGGTAGTAATATAATATAAAATATTAATATCAATATCCAAAAAATTTACTAAAAATAGTTTTTAAGAAAATCTTGAAAATTGTGTAATCGCCTATTTAAAGGCGGTTTCATAAATATTTTGAAACCAATATAACCCCATAAATACAATTACCTTTATTCATATATAAAATATTTATATGCGAGCCCTTTTTAAGTGCTAAACCAAAATAAATCTTGTAATTCGCTTTGCGGCTTGACCCAATGCTCGAAAACACACTTGTGGTGCCTGTATCTAAATCGCTTTATGAACCGAATTATGAAGGCATGACAGCATTTGTCTGATATTTCTCCAAAAACACCCTCGCATCCATACAAACATAGAAGCATAGAGACACAAAATCACATACATATACAAGCTCATTTGGCTGACTGACTGGCAGACCTTGTGTCCCTTTTCACACATTACACATACGCCACGTTGCCGAAGCGCTCATTCTGTTGGCCCGCTTTGCTAGCTCGTTGGTTGCCAATTGACACATTTCATGTTCAGATATGCGTAAATAACAATTATTGTAATTTTTCAAAGCGCTCGTTGCGAGACAAAGCGCAGACTTGTGACAATTCAGCGATAATACAAAAGCGTAACCTTAACCGACAGCGTGTGAACCTTGAACTTGAGTGACAGGGGCAAAAGGCGTTGGATGGTATTCCCTTTTTTTTTTTCTTCGCCTTTTTCCTCTTTTTTTATTTTATTTCTTGTATATTTTTTGTTGTTGTTTGTACTCTCCTTTTCATACCAGAAGAGTGCGCCGGAATGTGTCGATGTGCCCCTGTCGGCGTGTGTGTTTGCCAATGTGTCAACATTTTAGATTGCCTTGCATGATTTGCAAGAAAAATGAAGACAATAGTTGAGTTTTACACTCTGCGCTCAACAACCGCAACAAAAAAATAAATAAAAACAATAGCACCAACAACAGTGGTGGCAAGTACCGCTGTCAGCGTGTCACGCGATTTGTTGCCTTTGAACAAGTATGAAATGAATATATTTGTCATAAAAGAAAGTCATGGTGCGGCTGTTGTGGATGTCGTCGTTTTTTTTCATATCCCTGATAAACAAGTGCTAAGCAGAAAGAAACAAAAATGTCCCTTAAAAAAGGATTATAAACGACTTATTAACCCCCGAGTATAACGGTGTACATTGTCAATAAATTTTAAAATTTCTAATTAAAACTTACCAAAATGGACATATGTTTGTTTATTACTTTTCTAGTTTCAATAAGGGTAATAGCCAACTTTCCAATTTTAATATCTGTGTGTTTGTAATAAGTATCTAGTAGATACTATCTACTCAGAAGCTGTCTAATTATGAGAAAATTCTATGACATTTTTAATGTTACAATATTCTACGCTCTTTGTGATGTGATACAAAAATATGAGATGCAATTTCCTCTTTGAAAAATATAGTTGATTAGCACAACTTCTCCAGTTCTTTGAGAAGCTTTTGTCAATGAAATTAAGATTTCAAACTACAACTTCCCAAAATATTAATTTAGTTTCTAATTACTTGTCCTTTTTCGATATTTATGTATCGATTCTATCAAATTTCATCAAAATCCCAAAACAACATTTTTTTAGTTTTTTTGTCAAATTTTCTGGTCCCCTTTAAAATGTCGAAAAACCATATGCAGGATAATGGGACCCACTGGGAAGGCTATATCTTTGGAAATAATTATGGGATTCTTGAACGGAATACCTTAAACGATTTGTGGGTCAATTTTCTATCAATTTTCATCCAAATCCCGGAACAAACTATTTTTTGGATTTTTTGTTAATTTTCTTGGGCGTCCCCTTTAAAATTTCGAAAAACCATGTGCAGGACAATGGGACGCACTGGGAAGGCTATATCTCTAAAAATAATTGTCGGAGTCTTGAACGGAATACTTTAAATGATTTGTGGGTCGATTTTCTATCAATTTTCATCAAAATCTTGGAACAAATTATTTTTAAAATTTTTGTCAATTTTGTGGGGGGTCCCCTTTATAATGCGCAGGATAATGGGACCCACTGCGAAGGCTGTATCTTTGGAAATAATTGTCGAATTGTTGATCGGAATACCTTAAACAATTTGTGAGTCGATTTTCTATCAATTTTCATCAAAATCTCGGAACAAATATTTTTAAGATTTTTTGTCAATTTTCTCGGGGGGCCCCTTCAAAATTTCGAAAAACTATGTGCAGGAAAATGGGACCCACTGGGAAGGCTATATCTTTGGAAATAATTGTCGGATTCTTGAACGGAATACTTTAAATGATTTGTGGGTCGATTTTCTATCAATTTTCATCAAAATCTCGTAACAAAATATTTTAAAGATTTTTTGTCAATTTTCTGGGGGGTCCCCTGGATAATGCGCAGCATAATGGGACCCACTGCGAAGGCTGTATCTTTGGAAATAATTGTCGAATTTTTGATCGGAATACCTTAAACGATTTGTTGGTCGATTTTCTATCAATTTTCATCCAAATCCCGGAACAAAATATTTTTTGGATTTTTTGTTAATTTTCTTGGGCGTCCCCTTTAAAATTTCGAAAAACCATGTGCAGGACAATGGGACGCACTGGGAAGGCTATATCTCTAAAAATAATTGTCGGAGTCTTGAACGGAATACTTTAAATGATTTGTGGGTCGATTTTCTATCAATTTTCATCAAAATCTTGGAACATATTTTTTTTTTTAATTTTTTGTCAATTTTCTGGGGGGTCCCCTGGATAATGCGCAGGATAATGGGACCCACTGCGAAGGCTGTATCTTTGGAAATAATTGTCGAATTCTTGATCGGAATACCTTAAACGATTTGTGGGTCGATTTTCTATCAATTTTCACCAAATCTCGTAACAAAATATTTTTAAGATTTTTTGTCAATTTTTCTGGAGGGTCTCTTTATAATGTCGAAAAACCATGTGTAGGATAATGGGACCCACTGGGAAGGCTATGTCTTGGGAAATAATTGTCGGATTCTTAAACGGAATACCTTAAACGATTTGTAGATCAATTTCCTATCAATTTTCGTCAAAATCTCGTAACAAAAGATTTTTTGTCAAATTTTCCGGGGGGTCCTCTTTAAAATGTCGAAAAACCATGTGCAGGATAATGGGACCCACTAGGAAGACTATATCTTGGGATGTTATTTTCGGATTCTTGAACGGAATACCTTAAACGATTTGTGGATCGATTCTGTATCAGTTTTCATCAAAGTCCAGGAACAACATATCTTTTAGATTCTTTTCTAAAGGTCAATGCTCAATTTTAGGTAAATACTGTCCCTTAAATTTTGGATAAAATCGTTTCAAATGGAGCAACTATTTTTAAATTCATATGGTCAATTCTCCCTTTCTCCTAACCTTTTAAGGGTACTTTAAAAAAATCGTTAAACAAAGTAGACCCGCTATAAGAAATCAGAAGTGGGTTATTTGCACATTCGGCTGAAACTAACAAACACAAAGGCCAAACTATAAACAAAGGCAACGGAACGAGAACAAGAAATTGCGTCGCCCAGATAACTTCAGCAACTTTTCGCAAAAGAATCGCAACTCGCAAGTCGCGACTTTGCCATTGAATGCATTTGTGTGAGTCCTTGCGCCTTCGATGAGTTTGTGTATGTGTGTTAACGGGTGAGTGTGTGGGTGTGCTAGTGAGTGTCAACAAATGACTCGAATGAAATTTATAAGCAAAGTTAGCTGAACGCAGTGGCAGTGGCAAAAGTTGATAAGGGTTGCCTTGGTCGGTAAGTGAAGTTTTCCCAAAAGCTCAACTGAAGACACCAAACTGAAGAGGCAACGATGGTGTGGTACAATGGGTGCGGAGATTTTGGGCCTTCAGAGGCATAGTTGTGGTACCCCCAAGATAAACAGGAGGCCAATAACATGGCCAACGTATTAATTTACGCAAGTCAAATTCAAAGTTTGAGCTGAGTTAATTAAATGCCCTGCTGGCGGAGCAGAGCTTAACTCAAATAGAAACTAATGATAAAAGGCCACTGAACGGAAGACAACCGGTCAAGAAGGCAGCCAGGCATCAGTTTCTTGGAAGTCAAGTCTCTGGATGCCTTCAGTGCCCAATTGGCCAACCCAGGAAATGGTCAAGCCTCTCACTTCCGAACAATCCTGAAATCTTTGAATACACTTTGAATGGGAAAATGCTTTAATGACTTGCCAGCAAGAATGGGTGCAAGTATGAGCCCGTAAGCTAAGCCCTTGCCATTGTACTGTATAATCAATGAACCTATTCTCTGTTCATTGAATTCTACGAAGAGGGGTATTTCTACGGTAATCTCTACAGAACAAAGACTTCAAGTCTGATAGTGGCTAAGAAGGTGTAAATGGCTCTATGCTAGTTAGGCTTTTATATGGTTCTAGAAATGTTAAACGAGATTATTTAAGTAAATACTTTGAAAATTCAAACTAAACTTAAAGCCGTAATCAGATTAAAGGCTTTTGTTCAGAGATTGGCGTGTTACTTACTCAATAGTTTTCAAAAAAATGTTCGACTTCCAACCAATAAAATACCAATTTAATTAATAATTATAATCATATTTGTCGTTGCTTTCGACCAATACTTTGTGGACACACGCGCGCGAAATTCAATTAACCGTTTCATTAGTGCACCGTTGGCAAAACGTTGCATGCAACGCCCGGGCGCTTTA